ACCTCATTAGTGTTTCACAATTGGTGGTTGGTACATGACTGAAAGTTTCATTTGATGTTTAAGGGTTATAAATCGTTAAAAAGGCAACCAAAAATGTGTTGTTAAACATAAAGAGAAAAGGAGAAATGTATCCTCTCAATCTGAATCCAATCAAAGGGAAGCCTGCCATCTGTCTAATTACGAAAGCTTCATCAAAAGACAGCTGCCTGTGGCATGACATACTTTCAAGGGCCTTCATTCTTGAAGTATGATAAATAGCATCTTTGTGCAGCCTGCAAATTAGGGAGGCAGAGCAAGAAGATTCATCCAATAATTGTGAATACAAATGTCATCGAACCACCCAAACTGTTTCATATAGACCTTTGTGGTCCTTCTGCAATTGAAAGTATTGGTGGTAGTAAGTACATCCTCGTAATTAAAGATGATTTTTCTAGATTCACTTGGGTGAATTTTCTTAAGCAAAAATCAGAAGCCAAGCCCAAGCTCAAGGATTTTATAAAGGAGATAGAGTTGCAACAGTGATAGCTGGTTCACAACATTCACAGTGACAACGTGTTGGAATTCAAAAACCAAGTGTTTAAATAATTTATGATTGCGAAAGGAGTTACTCATAACTTTTCATCTCCTTACACTCCACAACAGAACAGGGTCGTTGAAAGGCAAAACCGTTCTTTGTGCGAGGCTGCGAGAACCATGCTTTCTTTTACAAATCTGTCATTCTACTTCTGGGCAGATCCGATTGGGATAGCTTGCTTTACTCAGAACCGATCAATCCTCAACAAGCGATTCTCTATTACTCCCTATGAAATATTAAATATTTGAAAATGTAATGTAAAGTTTTTCCACGTTTTTGGTTCTAGGTGCTTAATCTTAAATTCAAAGGAACAAATTAACAAATTCGATGTGAAAATTGATGAAGGTATTTTCTTGGGCTCTTCTATGACTTCCAAAGAATATAGGTTTCTCAACAAAAAGTCTAAAAGGATAGAAGAAATCTACTATGTCGCTTTTGACGACAATTACTTGAAGAAGTTTCAAAAGAATGACAATCTATCATAGGATATATTTCCTAAACAGAATCCTGCTACCATTCCACTCTCTAATCTCTATGAGGAGTTCATGAACTTATTTGACAAAACTGAAAATGCTATATCCTCTAAATCCAATGCAGCAAACAACGAGGAAGACAAACTTAAGAAAATAATTGATGCTGATGCGAAAGATATTGAACACGAACACCCCACTCCGAAACACTCTGAAGTTCCAATTCAATCAACAGGTGTGAATACTACACCACAGGGGGAGGGTTCTAGTTCAACCTCCTCACCTGATACACTTGTTTTTGGTGGAGAACAAAACCCCTGATGTCAACTCAGAAACACCTTTCCAGGTGGAGAATCTGAATTCAGAAGAAAATCTACATACATCATTCGAGGAGGAGAATGAAAATTTGAATGATGATTCATATGTGCAGTCTGAGTTTGAAGATGTGTATGCTAAATTAGATACAACAGATGATCCTAATTACCCTCCGTTTGCCAAGGGGAGTAGAGATCATCCAAAAACTCAAGTTATAGGAGATTCATCTTCAGGAGTTCTTACGAGAGCACAACAAAAAGGAAAGCGAACTACATTATTCTCTAAAGTGGAATATTGCATGTTCAACTCATTTATCTCTGAGATTGAACCTAAAAATGTTCGAATTCTGCTTGATCACTCTATTTAGGTACAATCAATGCAGGAGGAGCAAAATGGATTCGAATGAAATAAGGTTTGGAGACATATTCCTAGTCCAAAGGATGCATCTATAGTTGGTATGAAATGAGTATTTCACAACAAACTAGATAAAGAAGGAAATGTGATAAGGAACAAGGCGCGACTCGTTGTCAAGGGATACTGTCAGGAAGAAGGCATTGACTATAAAGAAACCATCGCACCCGTTGCAAAGTTGGAATCTGTTCGCATCTTTTTGGCATACAAAGCACACAAGAAGAAACAACGTATGTAGAGTGACCACCAAGGTTCATAAATGAAAAGTATCTGAACCACTATTACATTCTGGACAAGGCAGTTTATGGTCTAAAGCAAGCCAAGAGAGCCTGGTACGAAAGTCTTACTTGTTCTATAAAACAGGCTAAATTTAAACAAGGCTCGGTCGACCCAACCTACTTTCACAAGAAAGATGGTGACCACTTGATGATCATCCAATTTATGTTTATGACATCAGCTTCGGATCAACTAACCCCACCTTAACAACTAAATTTCGAACATATCGAAACTAAGCTTGAGATGACATCCAGGGGTCCGATAACTTTTTCCTTGGCTTGAATATAAGATAGAGTCAGGAAGGTATCCTTATCAACCACGCGGCTTATACAAAGAACTTACTCTCTATGTTTGAAATGGTGGGAGATTCAAAGGTAAAGTTTCCAATGGCATTCAGAACAAAACTAACACCATCTCTGGACAAGCCAGCTACTGATATGACTCTCTATGGTCAAAGGATAGGTTCATCAATTTATCTAACTGCTAGTCGTCTAGATATCATGTTTACTATCTGCTATTGTGCCAGGTTCCAAGTGAATCCTAGCGAACCTCACATAACCGTTGTTAAGAATAACTTTAGGTATCTCAAGTGAACATCCTTACTAGGAATATGGTACCCTTCAAGTTCAGGTTTCTTTGTGCAAGCGTTTTCAGATGTTGATCTTGGAGGTTGCGGTTTAGATCAAAAGAGTACTAGGGGAGCATGCTAATTTGTTGATGGAAAACTTGTAAGTTGGCAATCGAAGAAGAAAACTTGCATCTCCTTCTCAACTACTGAAGAAAAGTACATAGTCGCTGCATCTTGTACATCACAAGTAATCTGGATTCAAAGTCAGCTTTGCGATTATGGCATCAATATGAAGCGAATCCCATTGTATTGCGACTCTAAGAGCGCCATTCGTATTTGTCACAACCCGGTGCAGCATTCAAAGAAGAAACACATAGCACTAAGGTATCAGTTCAACAAAGATCATGTGGTAGGTGGCAATGTTGAGATACACTTCATTAGATCCGCAGATCAGTTAGCCGACATCTTCACGAAAGCACTATGTGAGCAAACCTTCAATCTCATTCTTCAAGGCTTTGGAATGGTAGAGACTGAAGATGTTCCAAAACCACCTTCGCAATCATAAAGTTTTGATAGACCTGCAAATCGATGCGAATGCTGGCAGTAACTCGTAGTCAATTATTCACACTGAGAATTTGTGCAAATGCCCGCAGTAACTCGTATTGAATAGTTCATGCTACGAACCGGTGTGAATGTACGTAGTCACTCGTAGTCTACTGTTCATTTGTGGTTAGGAACTTTATGTATCCTTTGTACATTTTCTTTATTTCTTTTACTTCTTTCTATTTTTATTTCTTTTTTATAAAATCGAAAATTCAAAATTATTTTATACTGTTTTTTATTTCTTTTCAGAATATTGAAAATCCAAAAATATTTTATATCTTTCTGTTTTTATTTCTTCTTCAGAAGAAAAATACAAAAATATTTTATTTATTTTCATCAGTTAATTATTTTCGTAAAATAATCAAAAATACCAAAAATATTAGATAATTGAATAGGTTTGAAGATTCATATCTTGGTGATCTCAATTATGAATGATGGGGTTGGTAAAAAAATTCCTATTCTATGCACTCGTTAAGTTTCCCTAGATGCATGTTGCTGCATGTAGTCTGAAGCCTCACATACTCTATATTGAAGCCTTAATGAATCGATAAAACCAATCATTTCTTCCTTATTAGACTGTTTATTCACATAAGTCATGAGATACCTTACTCTTCTTGCATTGAGTTAAGAGCTCAGTGCTTGGTCACTTTCACATAGTAGAGGTACACTATTTCTTTGGAACCACCTCGTACTACTTCTCCATCACTTTTACATTCATAAATGTAATCCTTGAGACTCTCAACAATTACCACTGAGGTATATGGTTACACAACTTCTGTGTTTATGATCTTAAATTCATTATTACCACGAATTAAGTGAAATCCAAAGTCCATCACCTTTTTACGAATTGATAGTGAATAATTACATGTTCTAGATTCTTCACCAAGGAATTAATGAATGTCCACCTTCGTGGTCTGTACCAAAGAAATCTCATTTTCTTTTGCGAGTGCTTAATGAAATGTTCTAGTCCTAAGAGGTCTCTTCCCAATAAGATCTAGTTTTATTTTCTTGAGATTTCTATATCTATCCCTAGTCACTTAAATTTATTCCCAAGCATACTTGTTTAATAGCTCCACTGGTCAAACAAGTACTTCATACGAACATTCGGATTTATGTTCAGTTTCGGTTCTAGTGGAAGAAGAAGCGACCACATTTGCCTTATTAAAAGAAGCCTTTCACTGTTTCTCCACAAACAGTTGATCGTAAGTCAACGGCACACCACACAAGCACTTAAAAGTCTATCTTAACTATGAAGGAAGAGATCATTTCCCGGGATCCATCTGCTTTATCGCTTATATGACATCACTCGCTATATTTCTTTAACTTTGACACACTCTTGAATGAAGATCTTTACAATTTTCAAAAATATGGTTTTTTGTCCTAATGGTTACTTTCAGGTTCGGAGTACTGTAAATGGTGATCAATTGCGAATATATGTGGCTACGAGAATCGGAATCTTAAAGGACAATTCTAAAGCATAAGATTTGAAATTGAGTGCGTGGAATTTAAAACGACTCCCTTCTTGACGCCGACTTTATCGCGATCTGACACACGTAACAGTTGCTAGTCACGCTTTTTTCAGGAACTTTTTCAGGCTATTGAAGCTCCAAACATCGGATTTTGTCTCTCTCCTACTACACGGTATAAAAAGATTTCAACAATTTAGTTATCATTACCGCTTTCAAAGAAATCAAATTCTCCAGCAAATTCTCTCTCTACTCTTTCTCTTCCTTTACAAGTATTCATGGCTGCCTCATCAGAAACCCCTTCTGGAATAGAATAGATGGCGCACTCCTCAATCCTCAACATCAAGGAAAATCAAAACATGATTCTCGATCTTGATCCAGCAAAATATGACAGATTCCTTCAATTGATCGTCGAATGTTTGAGGTATTTACCACTGGTTATCGCTCTCACCAAGTTAGAGATTGTTCCCTTAGTTCATCTGTCAAAATCTTATTCAACTACAAGCCATCAAAAGGGTAACGGGTTCATTGCTTTTGAGATATTTAATAAGAAAACCCAAATTATGTATTCGAGGTTCTGCAACCTCCTAGGGCTTCCACACGGTTGTGACGTGTTTCACCCTGAGAGCATCTCTAACTCAGCAATTCTGGAGATGTTCTACCAGATGTGCTACAAGGGAACATTGACTATAGTTTCTAAGATAATTAAGCCCAACTTGCTGCCAATGTAGAACAGACTCTTCACACATCTCTTGAAAAGCTTCTCGGAGAGGGTTATTGGCTCCGAATGTGCGAACAAGTTATTTATAACGCTGATGTACAATATTTAATCTGACATAAATCTAGATTATAGCTCAGTCCTTTGGGAGTAGTTGGTCCAAAGCATTCTCTCTTCCACACGCCATTGTGAAATATATTTTGCTCGTTTACGGACAATCATTGTTCAACAGGACATTAACAAGCACAACATCCTAGTCTTGGAAGGTTCTGTTATGGTTGTAGTTCAGATCTTTTACACGACTATCATCATTCTCATAGACAATTTAAAATTCAGCTTCATCAACTCAAATCCTGAAGTTATGCTTCGTGAGGTGCCAGTTGCGAGTGATGTACTGTGAGCCTATCGTAGTCTACCAGTCTCATGATTTTGCCCAATGACTGATGAATTCCAACAGGTTCTTGCAGAGGTTTATAAACCCAAGAAACGAGGAAATAAGAGGGTTGAAATAGGTGGTCCATCCGAACCTCCTCAAGAACCGAAAAAGTAGAAGATCTAGAAAGTGGCTCTTAGGCCAACATATCCAACACCGAGTGACGACAAAGATTCGTAGTTAAAAATGGTTTTGGAGACTCCTGTCCAAGAAGAGGTTCACAAAGAGGATAATACAGAAGCAACATCTCAACCAATGGTTTTGAAGCTTGCAACTATGAACCCTGAGGTAACATTTGAAATCCAAACCTCTGTTCCAATTACTGAATATCTTTTCCATGATTTTTTTGTCCCTTCACCCACATCCACCATCTCTACTCCTATCACAATTGCCCCTTGCCCACCGGTATCTTTGGGTGTCTCACAAACACAAATCCCACTCTTTAGAACGAAAGTAACACCATCTCTAGACAAGCCAGCTACTGATATGACTCTCTTGTTGGGTATTGGTATACTACAACATCCTATGGTGCACATACAACCCTAAATACCTTGGATCAATGTTTTCACTAATTATACATGCAAATGGTTTCCAAGGTATTAATCTTACAACTAGCATGCATTTAACATAAACTTATAATATACTAGTTAGCATGACATACCATTTGATGCAACTTGAATTCTTGGTGTATTTGACCTTAAAGAGCTTAGCCACAATAGTGTGGAAGCCTCGAATCGAACCACAACAAACCATGGACAAAGGATGAACTTGAGAGAGAATTCCATGCACACAGAAGACACCATGAACTCTAAAAAGATACAAGTGGCGATTTTGGGCAATGAAGTATCTATTTATATGTGGGATTTCTAGGGTCATGGATATAACCCAAATCCATACCCATGGGTTTTATGATCCATGGTTCATGTGGCCCAACTCTTTATGTATCCATACATAAACTTGGTCCAACTTGGATCATAAGCCCAACACTTATAAATATAACTATTTATCATAATTACTCCCCATAAATTTAATTAGTCTCTTTCAACCAATAAATTAATTCCAAATTAATTCTTGATCAATACTAATTAAAACATATGATTTCATATTAATATATTATTACTTATAATATATTAATAAACAATAAATAACCTTCTCTCAAAAGTCCATCCTAACAAATTGTCCTGATGATATGAAACCCAAATGGACCATGCTATTCTCGGATCGTATACATACCAATAATAGTTATGGTCTTAGACACCTAATCCAACACTCTCCCACTTGGATAAGTCTAATACTATCATTCAAGTATGACTCCAAGATCCCAACTAGTAATCATAGCTCTTAAAGACGTTGTCAAACTCTGAACAAAACAAATGACATGCCTATTAGATAAGGGATCATATATTCCTCCATTCTAGATATCCTATGGACTGAGACATGCATTATAATCATTCTCTCTGTCCATTTGTTGTTTCCTGATTTCCGATTTATGACGACTGACTAACTGAACAAATCAAATAAATCCTAGCCCGGCCGAGCACTTCCATTTGTCATCATCAAATCATCGAGGGGCCCATAGATATCACTTTTATCTCGAAGGTAAAATGAATGGATAAACTTCGCCTCATATGGCTTGTTCTACTACTTATTAAATCATACACAAAGGCACGTTCTATAACATCGAGTTACCGAATGCGTTTTCGTGCAATCAATGTATAACCAACGCATACTAACAACTCATATCTCTAGGTTTGAAGAATATAAGATATTATCGTCTTATGATCACTCGTGATAAAATCCATGAAGTGATTCCAATGAGCGCGGGTTGAATCCAATACTCAGAACTTATGAGCACTCATGAGTGTTGTAGCCCTTTGTCCAACATCTTAGACCTCTACAAGCCAACCCATGACAGTCTTAATTCATATCTACTTCCAACATCTGACCTACTGTGGATAGTTTGAATAACTTAGTCATCCAGAATAATGACCTAGTTATTCTGGAAGTCAAAACATGCAAAATGAAACACAAGAATAATTGAATCGAATATGGTATCAAAACCTATGAATATAAATAAAATACCGTTTATTTAACAACATATGATTACACATTATTCATTGTATATTGTTTCAGCTATCAACTTTATTCTTGAATTTAAAACAATAGTTGTCCCATACTCCAAGAATGTACACAATGTTTTCTAAACACTAGTCATGCCATACACCAAGTATACATACTATGTTTGTCTATGATCTTTACTTTGTGAAATAGATCAATTGAACATAACTCCAATGATCCTTTTTTCATAGTCCCAAATCCTTACTGCAAATACAATAATTCCAAATTCATGCCATTTACTGAAATCTGTTAGATTCTAAACTTATATGCATTGATCCTCTTGTAATGATTATACACAAAGTCAGAAAGACATGAAAACAAACATTACAGAGCATTCCAAGGGAGATCAACTCCTTGGAAACATCCTTCATGCATTAAGTTTCCTAATCTTACATAGATTGAATAATTTTTAACTTTGAAACATTTCCATATTCCATTTTTACTATCACTTCTGAACAAGAGTTGCCTCCTTACAGATTATGTCAATATGGTCCTTCCAAAATTATCACTATACTACCAACTGTCCTTGAGCAACCAATATTTAGTAAACCTTAGATTGTCCTCGACAATTGTTTAATCCTTTTAGTCATATCCAATTCTAGACCTTTTCCCTTCTTAATGCCCCAGGCATTTGGAAAATTTTAGAAAGGATGAATAAAGCACATGCAATCGATCCTATATATCACACCCCGAAACCGATGGCAGAAGCGTTCTGGGGCGGAGGACGTCATGTAAAGTATCACAACCAATGTACATAGTAAGCATAGTAAACACAAAACATTACATTACATAGCATCATTACATTTGATTGAAAGTAAGGCAATACCTGATTATAGATACATAAGTTTAAACAAAAGTAAAGATGTGAATTCCATCTGCTCCATCTTCTGCAAAAGAACACGAGATACATGTCTAAGGAGAACCTGAGAATACAAGTAGTTTTTAAAAATATCAGCATAAAGCTGGTGAGTTCATAAGCGGTTTGTTTCTGAAAATGAACAAGTTTCCTTTAGTTTTCTGAAAAAGTTGTTATCCAAGAAAATCCCATATTTTCTTATAATTAAAGTTTAGTTATCTGTTTGTTACACAGTTTGATTCAGAACAGCTATGTTATCATAGGAAAAACCCTTATTTTCCTTAAAAGTTGGTGGTTGGTTATTGGTTCGGAATGCAGTGTACTAGTATCTACCATACTTAAAGTGTTTGTGTGAAGTTTCCTGAAAGCCTGGTTATCCTTTAAAAGTATATTAGTATATAAAACTAATAGGTAATTATAAAAGTTTTCATAATCTAAATTGCGAGATCCATAACCATACAACAGACTAGTTAAGGCTCGGAACGGGGCCAATATCCTTTATGACTTTTGTCACCCTTGGACCTTTCGGTCCGACTGTAGCTAGCAGCCAGGTGCGGGGTTGTCAATCCCGTATAGATCTATACACTCAAGTCATGTTCTCCCTCCAAGAGATTCTGGTTACGAGGGTAGTCCTACACTCTCGTAACTAGGGGGAGTGTTACAAGGACGTGTCTCCAATCTTAAGATTAATGAATTAAAAGATAATAAAACGGGAAACTATGTTTTATTAGTCCTTCAATCACGTATCTAAGGGAGTGTTATCAAGGACGGGTCTAAAGTTCTAAGTTTTAATGTTATTAGTCCTTCACTGTCGTATCTGGGGGGAGTGTTATCAAGGGCAGTTCTAATATTCTAAGTTTAATGTTATTAGTCCTTCACTCTCGTATCTAGGGGAGTGTTATCAAGGACGGTTCTAATATTCTAAGTTTAATGTTATTAGTCCTTCACTCTCGTATCTAGGGGGAGTGTTATCAAGGAAGTTTTTAAAGTTCTAAGGTTCATGCTTTTAACAATAATGTTGTGGAAAGTCATTTGCGAAATGTAAAATATAACATTTTATAATAAGATTTGCAATCAGTATGAAAACTAACTCTGGATGTCAAACAGTTGGTTAATACGGTTTCAATTGTTAAAAACATATAGAATATGAAACAACTCAAATGAAATAATAAGTTTGAGTACAATATATTCTTGTACTTTTGCTTGTATTCCCCCTCCTGAAAACATTGAAAAACACGGAAAAATGTGTAGGGGTATGAACTCACCGGACAAGAAATGTATCGGTTAGGATGCTAAATGTCAGTTCGGGGCTTGAATACATGTGAGGTTTTATGTAATATGTAGAGATACATAATTGTATCTAATTAGACTTTGAACTACTAACTAAATAATAATAATGTACACACTGAGGCACGAAAATACTTCAATTCAAGTGTTAGGAGTGATACGGGTTGCATCTAAGGGTGTGTAGGGCCTAAATAAGGAGTTTACTCTTCAAGAGTAGGCCCTTAGGGGTGTTTACGGTCCAATGACCATATCCCCGTGATTTTATGGCTGTAAACTCATCGGTGGTGTGTTCTTGGATGTCTAAAGGTCTTACAATGCA